GCAAACTGTCACTCATCTGATTTTTCAGTTATGCTTGTTAGTAATCGCATACATGAGCCCTGGATATCCACAAATAAATGTAAAAACCTTCCCTAAAAGCCAAGACTGTAAATTCCAAACAGGCAAAGTTTCCCCCCCAATTCCCACCCCAAAAAAAGCTAAAGAGGATAGAGAGAAACACTGTTAAATGATGATGTATGGAGGGGATTATAATCAATGTAATGAAACAAGTCATATGAAGGGTTGAATATGAAACTGATGACGTGCCTTGTAAACTTTCACTCAATCCACAATAAAAATCTTAAAAATAAATAAATAAAAAAAGTTCATGGCAAGATGGAATTAAAAGCTATTGGAGTTTCCCCACAAACTTTTGGTTTGAACCACAAAGTTTGTTGGTCCAAACTCACTAGCACCTCTTGAGTCCTACCTGACTTCCTGGTACTTAACAACAACAACAGACTTACATTGCTTATAGACCATTGCTTTGAAAAGATCAGAAACTAAGTAGATTTTTATAATTTATATTGTAAATATATACAGTTTATATTGCAATATATTGTAAATTTATATTGATAATTTATGTCCTTGTCCTCTTTGATGCTAAAAACACTGAGTATTAAAATCATTGACTAATTGTTGTTGTTACTAGGTGCCATCTCATAGATACCGACTCGTAGCGACTTTATGCACAGCAGAATGAAACACTGCCCGATCCTAGGCCAACCTCACTCTTGTTGCCACGCTTGAGCCCATTGATGCTGCCACTTGGCCAATCCATCTTGCTGGGGGTCTTCTTCTTTTTCTCTGTCCCTCCATCTTACCAAACATGATATCCTTCTCCAGTGACTGGTCTCTCCTGACAGTATGTCCGAAGTATGAGAGACGAAGTTTGGCCATCTTGGCCTCCAAGGAGCACTCTGGCTCACTTCTTCCAAAGCAGATCTGTTTGTTCTTTGGCAGCCATGGCACTTTAAATATTCTCCAACACCGTAACTCAAAAGCATCAGTTCTTCTACTGTCTTCCTTATTCACTGTCCAGCTTATGCATGTATATGAGATTGTTGAAAATACCGTGGCTTGGGTTAGATGCACCTTGGTCTTCAAGCTGACATCTTTGCTCTTCGACACTTTAAAAAGGTGTTGTGCAGCAGATTTGCCCATTGCAATATGTCATATGATTTCTTGACTGCTGCTTCCATGAGTGTTGATAGTTGATCCAAGAAGAATGAAATCCTTGACAACTTCAGTCTTTTCTCCGTTGATAAGAATGTTGTTTATTGGTCCAGTGGTGAGGATATTTGTTTTCTTTGCATTGAGATGCAATCCATACTGAAAGCTGTGCTCTTTGAACTTCTTCAGTAAATGTTTTAAGTCCTCTTCACTTTCAGCAAACAAGGTTGTATTGTCTGCATATTGCAGGTTGTTAATGAGTCTTCCTCCAATCCTGATGCCACATTTTTCTTCATGTACCCAGCTTTTTGTATTATTTGCTCAGCATACAGGTTGAATAAGTATGGTGAAAGAATACAACCTTGTCACACACCTTTCTTAATTTTAAACCATTCAGTGCTCCCACGTTCTGTTCGAATAACTGCGTTTTGGTCCATGTACAGCTTCCTCATGAGCACAGTTCTGGAATACTCATACTTCACAATGTTGTCCATAGCTTGTCATGATCCACACAATCGAAAGCCTTTGGTATTGACTAGTAGAAATAACCATTTACTGGAGTAGATTCTGATTCCTGATGATTCCATTTATGTTACAATAGAACTGTGCTCCATAGTGTCCCCCCCCCCCCAGTTTAATTGTGAAAATGTGCATACTAGCAACAACTCAGCAATTTATGCATGTTAGTTTAATGACATTGATGTATTCTGAAAGTTGCGCAGCCATTCTCACTATCCTTTTCCAAATAATTCTACCACCATTAATAAATTCAGTGTCCCTTAAGCAAAATCTCCCCTTTTCCCTCTCGCTCTGCCCCTGGCAACCACTAATAATCTATGGTTTATATAAGATTGCTGATTTCATAAAAGTGAGGTTACACAATATTTGTTCTTTTGGGACAGATTTATTTAGTTTAGCATGATGTTTTCACGGTTTCCTTGCGCCAGGACTTTACTTCTCTTTATTCCTAAATTGAGTAGTATTCCATTGTTATGTATAGAACACGTTTTGTTTATCCACTCATCAATCAGTTGATGAACATTTTGGTTGTGCTCATTTTGGCTTCTGTGAAAACTGCTGCAGTGAACACTGGTATACAGGTTTCCTTGTTATTTTCAGTAGTTGCTGTTTTGGAAGTAGTGTGTTAGGCCTTTCTTCTCAGTTGCCTCTGGGTATTAGTGAACATCCAGTCTGTCAGCGCTCAGGGCCTCTAATAAGTTCATAGTAATAGAGTGAGTCCTGGTGTTGATCTGTAGGATAAGCACTTAACTGCAAGGTCGGTGGTTCAAACTCACCAACTACTCTCTTTGGAAAACCTATACAGGGTCACTGTGAGATGGAACCACTATGACTTGGAACCGACTCAAAGGCACTTAACAGCAATCATACAGAGAGTTTCTAAGTGGTTCAAAAGGTTAACATGTTTGACTGCTAACCAAAAGATTGGTCGTGACTCATCTTAGAACAAAGTCCTAGCAGTCTGCTTCCAAAAATTAGCTTTTGAAAACTCTGTGGGACATAGTTCTACTCTGACACACATGAGATTGTCATGAATCAGAATCGACTCTTTGGCAAACTGAGTAATCATACAGATACAGCATGTGTAACCTTTTCATAAATTATGTATAAAAATGAAATCCTTGCCATTCAGTAATTACTTTTGGACTGAAAAGAATGTTGAAATCAAACCAATGTGAATAAAGCTGAAAGTAACAGAACAGGATACAGGGAAGAGCACTGGATTTCGGTGATTGTGAATTATATTTGCAGGAGGAACTAGCCCTGGAATAGAGGGCGGTCTTTTAAGGGAAGCTTTGGCACTGTGGGTTAATGCATTGGATGACATGGTTGGTTTGAACTGCAAGGGTCAGTAATTCAAGCTTACCAACTGCTCCTAGGAAACCCTATCAAGAGTCATTATGTGTCAGAATCTACTTAATGGCACTTAATGACAACTAGGCAAACTGGAAGCCAGGTAGTGTAGTAGATTACGAGTTGGACTGCTAACTGCAAGGTCAGCAGTTTGAGTCTGTCATGTACTCCTCCTGAGAAAGATGAAACTTTCTGCTCCAGGAAAGATTTACAGCCCCGGAAACCCTATAGAGGGCCACTATGAGGAGGAATTGACTCAATGGCGCTTAAATATAGCAAATTGTTTTTCATAGCAAATGCACTTTACTATGTCATCAGCAATGAATGTGGGGGTATGTGAGGTGTATGGTTTCCAATATTTTTACATCCTAACCAACACTTGTTTTTCTAATATCCATCCTAGTGGCTGTGAAGTGGTATCATTGTGGTTTTGGTTTGCATTTTCATGATCACTAATGTTGAACATATTTTCATATGCTTATTGACTATTTGTATATCGTTGGTGATCTAAAGTTTGCTTTTATGTCACCAGAGTCCTTTTGGCTTAGAGGGTTGAGTGTTGGCTTGCTAACTGTGAGGTAGGTGGTTCAAATCTCTTGCACCACAGAAAAAAGATGAGGGTGTCTGCTCCCATAAAGATTTACAGTCTAGGAAACCCTAGAGAGCAGTTCTACACTGTCCTGTAGGGCCACTATAAGTCAGAATCATCTCAATGGTGGTGGATTTGGTTTGGTTTATAGTATGCGACATAAGTGAATATAATGACTGTGAGTCAGAATCAACTCAATGGTTGTGGGTTTGGCTTGGTTTAATAGTGTGTAACATAAATGAATACAGTGGACGTGATAAGTGTTGATTTCTTTGACTACCTAAGTTTAATGTCATCAAGTCATAGACACCATGGAAAGGGCTGTAAGAAACCTTTGTGGTTGTCTTTTTCAATTTTACTTGTTGTTGTGAAGTGCTCCTAAGTAGATTTTGGACTCATAGTAATCCAGTGTGACAATAAAATGCCCCATAGGGATTTATAGGCTGTGTGGCACTGTGGGATAATGCACTAGACAGCAAGGTCAGTTTGAAATTCACCAGCCACTTCTTGGAAACCCTGTACAAGGTCACTATGAGTTGGAACCAACTCAACGGCACTTAATAGCAACAACAATCGTTATGGGAGGAGTCCTGGTGTGGTGCTGTAGGATAATGCACTGTACCACAAGGTTGGTTTGAACAACAAGATCAGTGGTTCAAACTCAGCAACCCCTCCTCAGAAATCTAATACGGGGTTATTATGAGTGGGTACTGACTCGATGGCACTTAACAACAACGACAACAACCTTTATTGGGACTCTCCCGTAGAGTGGTTGGTTGGGTTTGAATCACCAATCTTTAGGTTAGCAACCATTTTGCTTCAGGTCTCACCATAGTTGATGAAATTGAGTCCTCGAAAGGTTAAATGACTTGTCCAAATTATACAACTTAATTAGCTCTTAACTCTTACCTCCTAATTCTCATTGTTACCTAGTTTTTCTAAACTGTGGTGCCTTTTTTAACCATGGAAAATGAAAAGTTATATTTTTAGGCATGTACAGATTTTTTCTTTTGGCCTTCAAATGCTTTAGTTCTGTGGTTTACAAAGTCTGAGATTTTTGTTTTTCTTAGTATACACACCTAAGTACTGTAAATAAAGTTACCTTTTACCTTGGATACATTTTTAATGCACTAAGTTGAGTTTGAAATTATTTTGTCATAATTACAAGTTTCTTTTTAAATTAATGTATTTACAAGTGTTTCTAATTACACACGATGAATTATATATAATAAATACATTTGATAACTTTATTAGTATAGCTATAGTGGGGAAAGCTTGCTTTTTAGAACCAACTAATGTCTTAAAATGTGTTCATTTCATATGCATTTTTGCATGTTTCAGATATTTCCTTAACTTACATATTCAGATATTTATCCAAACATTATTGCTATGGGGTTTCCCGCAGAAAGACTTGAAGGTGTGTACAGGAACAACATTGATGACGTAGTAAGGTAAGAACGCATGATTTTCTGCTTCAAATATTGATGTATTTATTATATTCATGTTGTATTTTCCTTTAGAAAACATTTCTAATGTACTTTTTAAAAAATAAACTTTGTGGTATGAACTTTATTTTGTTGTGGTGCTTTGTAACAACCTTTAAAAAAAAGTTTTCCTTAATATACCAATGAACCTCAATGGGGTATCCTTTTGATAAAAATTGACCTTGTGTGCTATCCAGGTACTTATAATATAGTATTTCATAGAGTTCATTAAATGTTTCTTTCCAGGCTGTCTAGTGCCTGGACTTCATTACAGTGTGATTTTTGTCTCTGTCTCACAATTGGGGATTATTAGTCTTAAAATCTTTGAGAACATCTATGCACATAACACTAAGATATAAATGACTGGTACCATGTGTTTTTAGGTAGCCTACTCTTTAATGGGGTCAAGTACACCAAGTATCTGAGCAAGTATTTAACACAAGGAGTATGGAATTGCGGGATGTAGCAAACGCTAGTTTTGCCAGTTTCATAATTTTGCATACTTTTCTAAGTATAGCCAATCTCAAGATACACTGAGGTTTAGTTCCAGACCACTGCAATAAAGCATATATTACAAGAAAGCAAGTCATAAGAATTGTCTTGTAGTTTCCCAATGTATATAAAGTTATGCTTACTGTATACTGCTTTGCAATAACAGCATTATGAAAAAGTTTGAAATATTGTGAGAATTACTAAAATATGACACAGGCTTACAAAGTAAGCATATGTTGTTGGTAAAATGGTAATAATAGACTTACTTTTGATGCAGGGTTGCCACAAAACTTCAATTAATACTTAAAAAAATGAGTATCTCCATAGCATGATGAAATGAAATATGCCTGTAATTATCATTCAGTTCAGAACACAGTACTTCACAAAGTCCATTTTAAATACTTTAAAAAATGCTTTTATGATCCAGGAATGCATGTTATATTTCATGAGAGAAAGAGTATGTCTGCTTTGTAAATAGTCAGTGTTTTAAAAGTAGCAGAACATAGAAAAAAGAATCTGAGAGGTAAATTATTAATTAAGAGAGTTGAGGAATGTGGGAAATGAGCAGTACCAGACAAGTCTTCTCTTCTATGTTGCAGGAGTGTTTATCAGTCCTCAATATATCCTGGATGAAATATTTCAGAAAGTGGTCTACTTCACATTACTCTAACTCTCTACTCAACCAATTACTAATCCAATCAACCCAGGTTGATTAGTTTGTTTGTTTTTTTTTTAAACTTCCAACCATTAATACATTTTGTTTTATATCAGTGATTATTCTTCCATACCTGTAACAACAGTTATTTTGCTTCTGTCCTTTTGCTTTTCTTTTATTTTTCTTTTTTAAAGCTTTTATTGACTTGAGTAATAGTTTACATGGAAGAAATCTGTTTTGCATTCAACCTATTATATTTTGCTTCATTTGCAATTATTACAATTCCCCTGCATACTCAAACTAAAGTCCCTCTTGAAAACTTGTAAGCCAGCCACTTCTTTTTTTTTATGCCACCCCACCCCCCAGCATTTTAGATAGCCAATTTCTAAGTTGGAGTCCTGGTGTGGTGCTGTGGGCTAATGCGTCAGACTGCAAGGTTGGTGGTTCAAGCTCATCAGCTGCTCCTTGGAAACCCTATACAAGGTCACTTTGGGTCGGAATCGACTTGACGGCGCTTCACAACAACAATTTCTAAGTTATCTGTCCTATCATCCTTATGTACGGAGGGATTAGGCTTGATTCTTGATGAGAAGTCTCCTTCCCTTTCACTTGGCAGTTTGAGCTATTACACTCATCAGTATAGGTCAAGCTTGATTTATATTTATACTTAGAGAAGGGATGAGTGCTCTGAATAGGATGTAAATGCTCTGATTATTATAAAAATGTCCTTGTGGTAAATTAACTTGGTATGTGGTCTTTACATTGACTTTTAAATCTCCTGAATATGACTTAGTCTCTTCTGACTTACTCACTTAAGCTGATTGATTATCTTTTAGGTTACTGAAAAAATCCAGTTTCTATGCCTGCAATGATTTAGATGACCAGACCTTAGATTATAACTAAACCAAGAAAATGCCACCCAGAGAATCATTTTAGTCTCTCATTTTCAGATTTTATAATATGCTTGTTGCTTCAGAATTAAAAGATTCACACATTCAGTAGCCAAGGATGAGCTTTTTACCGTATGTAGTTTATTCTATTAAACTTTAATACTTTTTTAAACCTGCTGTTCCTAAAATTTTTTTGTCTGGATTGTTAATTAATGGTCATATTAGCCACCTGATGTTGGCATCCCTTACATTAAGGTTGAATAATGTATACAAATCACTTGCCTGGTGAATGTAATGGTTATGGCCTGCCTTCAAACCCGTCATAGTTTATGAGACGGAGAATGAATGTGACTGAAAGGGAACGTACTTTGTTTTTTTCTTTTAAACTAGAAGATAAGTCATTCCCAAGTAATTTGCCTGTTAGCATTAATCTATCCAAGGGAAGTGCTGTTTCTACTACCTAAAAGACTGATTTTTGTGATTTCTTCACACAATACAATACAGGGCATAGTAATATTCAATAGTGATTCCATTTTTGGTTCAAAGGTTATAACATCTCAGTAAAATGTATTTCTTTGCTTATACCTTTACTTTTCTGATAACAGAGCTATTTTTTCAGTTAGACTTTTCTTCTGCCCTCTGTATTGGTATGTCCAAAGAGTATTAAATTTACTTTCACCTTTCTTCTCTGATCCTTTATTTTTCCTGTGTTTTTCCCCAAAACAACAAATACTTGGTTCAGAGTTCACACTTTGTTGTTGTACTATGTCATTAATTTGAGTAAAATAAACTCAAATTACAAAAACCTTCATGATTAAACAGTGGAGGATTATTTAAGTGTTTTGAGGATATGGTTTGTTATGGAAATGTGAATAAAAAATTTTTTTTTCATTTGTCATTAGTGTGCTTTCACCAATTTCTTTAAAGCGTTCTCTTTATAAGTTTTTATTGTGAGTTGAGTGATAATTTTCATGGGAGAACATCAGCTTTACACTCATCTATCGTATTTCATTTAGGCAATATGAAATTTTATACTCATGGTTCTTGAAGACTTGTGACTAAGTTTTTACTTCTCCTTTTGAGGTCATTGGAGCCCTAGTGGTATGCAGTGGGTTTAGTGTTGGACTGCTGACGCACCAGCCACTCTAGGGAGAAAGATGAGGCTGTCATCTTCTTTAAAACACTATTACACTATTGGAAATCCTCTAGAGTAGTTCTCCTCTATCCTATAGCATCAGGATGAGTCTGAATCGACATCACAGCGGTAGAATGGGTATTGGAGGTCATCTCCTGGCATCAGGAATTAATTTGAAAAATGAACAAAAAAGAGTTGGGGAAAGTTGACCCAAGCTGATTTTTTTGTTGTTGTTGAATAATATTTTATTGTACTTCCTTTGCATGTGTATGTAGAAAGACAGGTTACCATTAAATTTTTCTTACATTTATTGTTCAGTGAAATTGGTTACATTCTTCATATTGTATTATCATTGTCATTATTTCCGGTTGTTCCTTCAACCTACTTACATCCCCAAGCCTTCTCATCTAGGCTTCAAAATATCTTTGTTGACCACTTGGTTAAGAGCAGCATGCTAAGAGCCAACGTGAAGAAATAAGCTGTAAAAGTATCTCAGGGTAATAGTCTTGGGGGATTCCTCCTGTCTCAGTGAATCTAGTAAGTTGGGTTTTATTTTTTGTTTAATAATATTTTATTGTATTTTCAGTGAGAGATTACACAGCAGATTCAAAACCAAACCAAACCTATTGCTGCCTAGCAATTCTATAGGATGCAGTACAATTGCCCTTGGTTTCCTAGCTGTAATCTTTATGAAGCAAACTGCCGCAGTTTTTGTCTGTGGAGTGACTGGTGAGTTCCAATTGCTGACCTTTGGGTTAGCAGTTCAGAATTTAAATCACTGCGCCACCAGGGCTCCTTACTACAGCAGATTATTGTTAAAGTGCCATCTAGTCAGTTCTGATTCAAAGCGACCATTTTACAATCCCACCAACAGTGGATCTAGGTTCTGTTCTCCCCACACCTTCACTAGCCATTGGTTGTTTTTTCTTTATTTTTAAATTAGTGCTTTTTAAGAAAGTGTGAAATTTTACTATGCATCTTTATTGGCTAATGATCACAAACACTTTTTTTCCACGTATTTTTTGGCTGCTTGAATATCCTCTTTGGTGAAGCATATGTTTATGTCCTATGCCCATTTAAGTTTTTGAGAATTTGAAGTTCTATTCCACAGTTTTTTACATTTCTATTAGAATTTATCTTTTGTCGTCCTGGTCAGAAGGTACGGTAGTGGAGGACGTGATGGGGAATTGGAGAAATACTCTGATAAGTCCCTGTACACCCAACTGTGCTTTTACCGGTACATTTTTGATGCAGGGTATGCACAGGAGAAACTTACTACTACTGATCATGAGAAAGAGAAATTGAAGTATTTAATCGCCTAAGTGAAACAGGACTACAAAAAACTCAAGAACACAGCAGAGCAGTTTCTATCCCGAAGTGGCTACTCGGAATTGAACCTCAGCAAGCTCTTCGCTAATTGGGCCATGAAACCCTAAGGAAATCCTACAAGCCAGTACCTCCACTGTGGTCCTCACTGCTTGTCCCACATCTGCTTTTCCCTTAGGACTGTGTCTCTTGTCAGTGTGGATGTGGCTTGGTAGGAGGGACAACAGAAGGGGGGTTGCAAAGATATTTAAAGTACTGAGAATCAGGGGAAGTCAAAATAGTTTTCATATTTAACAAATATACCACTTTTAAATGCGGTCATATAATCCTTTCCAAATTACCGAGAGACCTAATTTCTTCAGATCACGGGTCTACTTAGAGAGTCCCTGGAATGATGTCAGTGACCCCAGACTTAGCTCTAGGGTATTTAGCAGAGATACTTCCAGAAAGAGGTGAGTGGAGCCTAAGG